GGCAAAGCAACATTTTACAAGGATGTCTGTAAATGTCTCTCCATTCAAAATGATCTGATCCTTCAATAAAATTTTCCTTTTAATTTCTAGCCAAATGTCAGTCTGGAGTTTTCACTAAGTCAGGAGCAACCACTTTTTTTTCTTTGAATTTTTATTTCGATTTGGGTGAACGTTTATAGAGCAAATTCACTTTACATACAGCAACTCACATACTTGTCGTCTCATGAAACTAACTGCAAGTTCCCACAATCCAACAGCTCTTCCACTTCCTCGCCATAATTAGCTCTTCCCTGTGTCCTGCCCTCCATGCACTCCTGCCCCCTGAGCTGTCTCCCTGTGCATGCACAGCCCTTCTATTCTCCCATGATTGATCTCTCCAAGGAGTGTATCTACCTAGTGTAAATAAGGAACAACCACTTTTAGTAGAAATAAGCAACACAATATAAAACTGAAAAAGATAAAAACTGCCCAGGGTAAAGCTAGGTCTAGATTTAAAATACAAAAAAAAAAAAAAAAAATCAGTTTGTGTTATGGATTGAATTACATCCTCAAAAGTATGTGTTGTAAACCCTCACTTCTGTGCCAGTGGTTATAATCCCATTTGGTAATGGGTTGTCTTTGTTATGGTAATGAGACAGGATTAGTGTTGGCTGTGTCTTGAATCAATCTCTTTTGAAACACAGAACAGAAAAAGGAACTGCCTAACAAAATGTATTGACTACTTCTGACAGAAGCATCAATCTGCCTGGCCAAATTTAGATCTGTGAGTCTGGGCCAAGGGGAAAGGATTCACTAGAAATTCCAGCCACCAACATGGAATTCACAAGGGTAGAAACCATGGTTGGTAAAATTTAAAATGGGCTCAAAGCCACTGGATGAATCGGCTCTTTGTAAAACACGTGAGAAAACTCTTTAAATTTGATATATCAAATACTGGCCGGGATGGGAAGCAATACATCTTCTCCAGTCCCACTGATGTGGTTTTGTGTAGCTACTCCGCAAAGCAAGCTGGAGTTTCTCCTGGCATGTGACGGGTACACGCCCACTATGACCTGCTTTGTTTTTAAGGAGTATGTATTTGTGAGTTAAGGTGCAGAGTATCTCCAGAAGGGTACATGGAAAATGGGAGCATTTGCTGCCTGCAGGAAAAAGAATGGAGTGACTTGGAGGGCAGTGATGGGAGGAGCCCTTTCACCTGGTACTATTTCACATCTTTTGAATTTGCATCCTGCGTAATTATTAATTAATGTTTTGATTTGCTTAAATGTACACACTGCCTGACCCAGCAGTACCTTTTTTGGGGGGGGGCAATTTACCAGAGAAGTACTACTTTCTAGAAGCACTGTTTTAACAACACTAGGAAAAAAATGAATATCCATTCATAAGATGATAGCCTTAGGGAGCACCTAACTGAAGGCGAAGGATGCCTGCAGACAGTAAAAGGGACAGGTCCCTAAAGCTGGAAGGGAAGAGTGCAAAACCATACCCGACCATGGGGAAATTCACAAACGAATCATGGTGACGGTAAACAACAGGAAGAACATCATTCACGTCACTGAATTATACATGTGAATAAGGTAGAAATGGCCAATGCTTTATTTCATAGATATTTACCTCGATGGGAGCTCTGGTGGCATAGTGCCTAAATGCATTTGACTGCTAACCAGAAGACTGGCAGTTCAAACCCACCAGCCACTCTTCGGAAGGAACACTGGACAAATCTACTTCTGTAGAGATACTGCCTCAGAAACCCAAGGAGGGGTCGCTATGAGTCAGGTCCATTGGATGGCACACAACAATAACAACAATGATCCCATTCAGGAATGGCCTTTCACTGTTATGTTAATGAGACAGGATTAGTGCAGTGTGTGTTTTAAACCAAGAATCCTGGGTGGCACAATGGTTCAGAGCTAGGCTGTTTGAACCCACCAGCTGCTCCTCCGGACAAAGATGTGGCAATGGGCTTCAAAGATTACAGCCCTGGAAAGCCTCGGGGCCAGTTCTACCCTAACCTATAGGGCTGCTAGACTCGGAATCGGCTCAACAGCAGTGGATTGGTCTTTTTTAGTGTCTCACGTCAATCGCTTTTGAGATATAAAAGAACAGATTAAGCAAGCAGGCACGCACTGAGGGGAAGATACACGCCATTGTCAGGGAATTTAAGAACAGAAGCAGAAAAGAGACAAGGAACTTCCCATCGAGCAAAGCAGTGAGGCAGAGAGCGAGCACGAGAGAGCAAGCGAGACCGCGCGAGAGCGAGCGAGAATGCACGAGAGCGAGCTGCGGAGGCTTCCCCTTGAACCAGCGCCCTGAATTCATTCAGACTTCTAGCCTCCTAAATTGTGAGAAAAGAAATTTGTTTCTGAAAGGCATCTACTTGTGGTATTCCTGTGATACTAGCACTCGATAACTAAGACACGGGGGTTCGAACCACCAACCTTTCGATTAGCAGCTGAGACCTTAACCACCGAACCACCAGGGCTCCTTTATAACTTTCAGTAGTACGTAGATTAGGAGTCCCCAGATGGCAGAAATAGTTAAGTGCTCAACTACTAGCAAAAGGTTAGTGGTTCAAACCTCAGAAGACAGGCCTGGCAATCTGTTTCCAAAAGGTCAACGCTTGAAAACCCTCTGGAGCAGGTCATGCCCAGGGTCGCCCCGGAGTCAGAATCAACTGGATGGCAACAACAACAACAATAAAGAATGTAAGTCACACCTCAAAAGAAAACAAAAAAAAACAAACGGTGATCCCTCGCTGATAATGTGCAGGCTAAACCGTCTGGAAGTGAAGCAGACTCATGTCTGCAACTGCATTTGAGATGCATCAGAAAAAACCAAGATGGACTGATGGATGGGAAGAGAATGGAAAAAGAAGTGATAAAACCAACACAGGCATATTTTGTTTTATCGCACTTCATAAACATTGCGTTTTTCACAAACTGAAGGTCTGCAGCAACCCTGCGCAGAGCAAGCCTACTGGTGCCATTTTTCCAACAGCATGTGCTCACTTAGTGTCTCTGTATTCCATTTTGGTCATTCTCACACGATTTCCAATGTTTTCATAATGCTATTGCACACTTACTACAGTATAGTGTAGACGTAACGTTTATACGCACTGGGAAATCAACAAAGTCCATGTGAGTTTCTTTTCGTGACATCTGCTTTACTGCAGTGGTCAGGAACCAAACCCACAGTATCTCCAAGGTGTGCCTGTATAATAAAACATTACTGATGGGTGTCCTGGTGTTCCCTATAATATTCTTTCAACTTTCATGTATGTTTGAATTTTTTCATAATAAAATGCTGGGGGAAAATAACATAAAAAATAATCATTTAAAAACTGACGTCAATGAAAATAATTTCGACACAGAACAACAATCCCTTATCCAAAACCACAGAAGCCAGGCAGGTTTCAGAAATCAGAATTAAAATGGTACAGATACCATCAGTAGGCTCTAGGACAGCACCCCATAATCAGGTCAGTATTTTTCAGTACGACATAAGGATATTTATCCCCGGTAGGATGGGGGAAAACCCAGTGAATAGCCTCATACCCATTCAGGTGAGGATGACCATCACGTGAATTTATCCCAAGCTTGTAAATAAACTTTTTACTTTACAAGCTTTCTGATTTTGGAATTGCAGGTAAAGAACTATAGAGGATAAAATATGAATGCCCTTTCCCTTCAGAAACTGCACGTCTAGGTTTCAGAGTAACTCAAACCTGCACACTAGGAGACAGACCCAAGGGCATTCTTGTCAGGAAGTCTGGGACAAAGACCTGCAACACAGGCAAAACCTGGGAGGCTGTTAGAAACGCAGAATCTACAGCTATGATCCACATAACAAATCATGGGTAAAACTGAAGATTTTTCATTGAAGAATGAGAATTTCAGAGCACTCAATTGTGCTCATGAGGAACCTGTAACATAGAACAAGACGTTGTCGTTCAAATAGAACAAAGGGTTTAAAACCAGAAAAAGTGTGTGTCAGGGTTGTATCCTGTGGTGGTTAAGTTTGTGTGTCAACTTGGCTTGACCTGGTTGAGTGGCTGGGCAGCTAGATGTAATATTCCCCATGATGAGACTGGTAATCAACTCCATGGTGGAATCTATGAGCAGCTGAGGTATATATATATATATAGCCCTTGGGTATGTGGTCTGCTTCCCGTATATAAGAAACAGCTTTGGGAATGGTCTCCGGCTTATGGCACACTTGAACCCTACATGCAGCCAAATCGTTATTCATCAGCCCGCCATGCCCTGCCTATCTTGGGACTTTCACTGGACTTGAATTAATGATCTGCTGTGTGGTTTGGTAACATCAGGACTGTGCCATTTTATTTGTCAACCTTGGACTTGTTAGCCTAAGCAGCCAGTAGCAGCCTGAGTGAAGAGATGCCTCTAGCTTCAGTGGGCCAGGAGCAGGAGGCAGAGCTGAAGCTCAAGTTAAGGGACTTTCACACAGCCCCTAGAACCTGGCACTTTGAACTCAGACTTCTAACCTCCCGAACTGTGAGAGAATAAACTCCTGTTTGTTAAGGCCATCCCAATCTGTGGTATATTCTTGTCACAGAAGCACTAGGTAACCAAAACATATCCTTTCACCACATCTATTCAATCTGTATGCTGGGCAAATAATCTGAGAAGCTGGACAATATGAAGAACATGGCATCAGGATTGCAAGAAGGCTCATTAACAACCTG